TCCCTTCCGTTCCATATCCTTTCCTTCCATACATTTTTTTGGCGGACGGACTGAAGCGTATCGGAAACAGCGTTGTCAAGTTCATACATTTGTACCAGCTCTGTTAACATTTTGCTGATATTTATTTATTCTTTCACCTCTTAATTAAATCTATTACCTTTTTCGCAAGATACGAATTTTTAAAATATATATAATAAATAATACAATAATGATATAAATTGTACAATAAAAAGTGTGGAACTGATACGGAACGGAAGCTTACGTTTAGCGTCAATACCATAAAAAATACGGAACGGATATTGAATGGATATGGAATGGAAACGGAAGGTATAGTGAGAATCAACCTTTATGTTGATCTTGCTTGTACTAGTATTAGAGCCAATCTCTGGCATCAAAAAAAGAATCTAGACTCCCATCAAATTACCCCCGCTCTCATACTTTGCCAGTCGTAAGTGGTCCACTGGAAAAGCTTAAATTCAAAAATTCGTATCCCCCCACTACCCCCTGTTTTTAAGAAACTCAAAAAATTTTGGATTCAATTATCTAGCTGAACCGTAGGTTCCACAGAAAAATTTATGAAACAAAAAATGAAGAGAGTTAAATTCCCTACATTTTCATTTCTAAGTAACAAAGCTCTAAAACCTACGAGCACAGAATATCTAGCTACTTTTAGCTCTTGCGTAGCTAGATATTCTGTGCTACGAGGATAAAGTTAGAGGAAGCCAATGTCAGTCAAACGCAGTTTTTTGTATTTTTTTTCCGGGTAAAACCATTGTTTTTACCACTGTCGCAAAGTTTTAAAAGTAAAGTGCATAAAAAAACCTACCAAACTGATGTGTAACTTTAAGATTGTTATAGCATTCTCTGATCGTTTTGAGATTTTTTTAGGTGTGCTGAAAGTAGCGTTTTTAGACCCAAAAAAAATTTGGATTCTATTTTCTGGCCAAACAGAAAATTTTATAGAACAAAAAATGAAGAGAATTCAATTCTCTATAATTTAACTTTTCAGTAGCAAAGCTGTAAAATCTACCGGGACAAAGTTTTTACTCCGCACGCGAAAAATTGCTTACTACGTCAAAACTAAAACTTGCCTCTAAAACTTTGATGTTAACTAAAGATGACAATAATTAACTTTCACATTTGGCACCTACCATGTGTATGCAAAATATAAAAGTAATCCCTCGTAATTTTGAACTTGCAATGAATGAGTTTTTGGAGAAGCGCTTTATGAAAGAGATAGATATCTATGGAAAATATTGAAAAAAGTTATTTATATTTATATTGATGCAGCAACGTTGCCAAGTTCCCTCTCCGAAATCTAGAACTCGATTTTTCCGGCGTGCACAAGTACCGCGCGGCCCTTAATTGACGGTTAGGCCGCGGTCCGGCCATCGCGACCAGGAACTAATTACAACCGGGAAAATTGGTTATTAAAACGTCCCGAGGCGATACCGCTGGCTGAGAGGACTCGGCAGCGCCGATCGTGCACCGACATTTTTCATCGGCGAAACAGGTACCGTTCAGCCGGCAGCGGGACGACGGACGCGGACGCTACAATCCGCGTGTCCGAGATTCTCGCGATTTATCTCGCCAACAAGAGAGAAAACCCAGAAAACGACAACACAGAATCTAGAATCGACTCTAATATTCGTTATTTTCCCGTATCACTCAACTAGGTTGAAACAATTTGATAAGATTTTATGTTGGCGATAGTAGAAGCGAGCAAAGATTGAACGAGTATTAAAAATGAATCGTGTGATTCGATTCACTGCTTAGAATACGATTCGTTCAATTGAATCGTAGCCAGCACGGATCCATAAGAGTCGTGAAAACTAATTCATTGCTTGCAATACGGTTCGCTCAATTGAATCGTGGCTAGCACGGATCTATAAAATTTGAACGATGTGCCGTAAAAAAGAGTCGTAAGAATTGAATCGGATCACAATGCGATCGTTCGTTCAAAGAGTAGTGAGAATTGATTCATTGCTTACAGTACGGTTCGTTCAATTAAATCGTGGCCAGCACGGATCCATAAGATTTAAACGATGAGCTGTAAAAAAGAATCGGGAGAATTGAATCGGATCACAATGTGATCGTTCGTTTCTACGGCGCGGCGGTGATATAGTCATAGAGTCAGACACCAAACTTGAACAAAAGCCCTAAACAAACATCATGGGCATAAAATGCAAACGATAAGAATGTTATCTACAAGAAAAAAACTTATTTATACTGTGCTTAGTACGGGAGTATCTGTAAGGTATTTAATTTTTACGTTAATATTTTTGTTAAAATAATATTACCGACTATAAACCATTAAATGTCGGACTAAAAGACGAAATCGTGTTTTCATGCAACTCCAAATAAATATTGTTGGCCTCTGCTCAATATAATAAAAAAAAACGGCGTCAGCGATGGTTATAAAATGAAAATCGCTGTCATTTTATATGTAAAATTATATGGGCAATGTCATCGATGTTCATTGTCAAGCCAAATGGATGCCATTTTTTTTCGATCATGCGGTATTATATACTAGAAAAAAAGACCAAACCAAAAACTGAAGAATTCGGGAAAATATTTTAACCTCTACAGGGTGGCTCAAAAAAGTGTGAGTGGATCGGCATGATTTTTTTAAATGAAACACCCTGTATATTATTGCAATTTTGGCTTCCTTTCTGATCACTTTACATAATTCTAAAATATCATTAAATTTTAATTTAAAAAAGTTTTAGAGGTAATAATTGACTAAATTAAAAAATACATTTTTTAGCCTTTTTTAAGGAAAATATTAAAAATACAAGAACTGTCCTGAAATCAAAACTATAGGCATTTATTTTAGTTGGTCTGTACCGGGTGTCCCACTAAGAATAGCTCTCGGCTGTATCTCGGAAAGTATTAGCCGTAGGGTTTACGGAAAAAAATATTTATAACTAAAGGGGCTATGAGAAATTGCTGGAAATTATTTTCAAGTTTGTAGAACGACCGCTAGGGGGCGCAACTGCAACAAAAAATATGAAAATGGAGTGTTTACACAATTTTGCCTAGATAAGGTGTACTATAAGTAATAGCTTCATAATCTTCAGTAAATTTTGAATATTTTTTGTTAGAGCCATTTTCCCCTATTTACCAAAATAATGTGGTGGGGGAAGGTTAGCACTGTTTTTATTTAAATATTAATAACTCTGTACTGGATGATCGGAATCCAACAAACGGGGGCTCGTTTAAAAGAGCGTTTTTACTCTATATTGTACCATATAAACAATAATAATAAGCTTTTGAACATAGACGCTAGAGGGCGTTGTCTTACAATTTAACAAACATTGCGCGTTTTTTCAAAAAAATTAAATGCAATAGTATATATAATTTTCGCTGGTAGTTAGAGTAGTAAAGAGTAGTAAAAGCTTAAAAAGTCAGCGAAAACCGCATCTTGATATCTCCTTTCAAACCGAAGATATTAGCAAAATTATAATAAATACCAAAAAATAAGCCCTTAATTACCTTATTTTTACAACACGGTATCAGTAGCCCTCTTTATTATGCCCATATCTAACAAATAAATAAAATAGAAACAGTTAGTTTATTTTAAAATCGACTAAATACCTGAATACCATAATACCAGAGGTATTAATATCTAATAATTAACATATTAATAACAGTGAACAAAAAACGATGATTAAGTCAAGTCATGGTAGGCTTTGGAAAAAAGTTGCTTTTGACGTAATAGTATAAACGTCAAATTGTTATTAGATCAACATTTTGATATAGACTTATCAGCGTTTTTTATTTTTTAATTGCTTTTTCAAAATGCCTTTATTATTTGAAATAGTTGAAGTTGTTGGCATTTTTCAAACATTCTACAAACTTGACAATAATTTCCAGCAATTTCCCATAGCCTCTTTAGTTATAAATATTTTTTTCCGCAGCCCCTACGGCTAATACTTTCCGAGATACAGCCGAGAGCTATTTTTAGTGTGACACCCTGTACTTACTTTGCGATAAATAACGTAATCTTAAATCACACATGATGTTCAAAATTCTACGCCTAACTTTGTAAAATATAAATATATTTTCTTTGTTGAACTCAAGCTCTTTGCTGAATTTTGAACACCTTGTATGATTTAAGAATACGATATTTATAGCAAAGCGAATAGAGACCATCTAAAGTGCCATATGTAATAGGTGCCTAAAAAATGCCTATTATAGTTTTCATTTCAAGACAGTTCTTGTATTTTTAATAATTTTTTTAAAAGACTCAAAAAAATATATTTTTTATTTATTTAGTATAATCTTTGAAACACATTTAAAAATATTTTAGGATTCTGCACAGTGATCAGAAAGGAAGCCAAAAATGCAATAATATACAAGATGTTCCATTTAAAAAAAATCATTCCGATCCGCTCACACTTTTTTGAACCACCCTATAATGATGTACGAATGAAGCTAAAAAAAACTTTGGTTGAAAAAAGCAATTTATATTTTAATAAGCCAATCACCGCCCTAATTTGTTCTCATTAATTATTCATTTACACCCTGTAAAATAAGTTTAAGCTAGGTATAAATTTGACGACGCGGCAACGCTTGGCTAATCAGGCAAAGAACGGTCATCGGCGATTTGATTTGCCTACTCCTACACCTCGAGCTAGTCTTCCCGTAACTTTTGTTTTGATCGGACTTTGTTTTTGTGACATTCGTAAATAAAGGCAGCTTCACAAGTACCGTCAATTTTTCCGTCAAACATCCGCCGTAATTTTTTGTATGACAGGTAAATAACTGAAAAACATAATTAAACGTATTCACATTTTAAAAATTCAGGTATAATTCGGTTCATATGTAAATTGTTATTATTGTCCTATTGTATTCGGCGAAAACTAGGAAAAATGTATCGAAATAATCGATTTAAAGGAAAAAACTGATTTGTATCGGAGTGAATACATGAATAATTTTGAATATTTTCTGGCGCGCGGTATTGTCGCGTCACAATACTGATTTTTTTCGAAAATTTCAAAAGAGAACTTTGATCGACAGTAGCCAACCGAGTCCCTTGAACAAATCAGTGTTCTTTATACACTTCGTATAGTTGCTAGTTAATCGCAATTCATATTTAGAAACATCAATACGTTATCTTAATTGTTGCGTAAAATTATAAACAACCAGTGTCTTTAGAAACATGATATGACCACAAGATCCAAAATAACATAATTTATATATTTTTGCTTGGTGTTTATAACGAGTTTTAAAAGTTGGTAAGTTTTAAATATGTTTTTAAATAAAATATAATATTATAAACCGGTACCTACCTATTTCTCGAAGTGGAGTTTCATGAGCCTCACTGTATATAGTAGTAACTAATAATTTGTAACATCATAATTTTAATTATTTTGTCAAAATTTGTGACGCAAAGCGATGAATTTCTGTTTGTCTCTTCTGATACATTATTTGGGAGAGTGCATGGATTCTTTTTATTCTTGTTGGATTATAATACAAACAATATACCTACAGATATTGACATCTTTCTAAATTATACAGGGTGGTCCGAACTGTATTCCGAAAACTTCGGCAGCATCTTCTGCAGATAAAAATAAGTAAAAAAGTTCGTATAAATGTATGTCCTAAATTGCATAGTTTCGGAGATACGGGGTGTAGAAAATTCATTTTTATTTTGATTTTTTCTCAATTATTTTTGAAGTAAGTAATGTCAATATTTTGATGAAAATTGGTGTCTGGGAGTTTTTTTGACATGAGATATTTGATTTTGATGTCAATATTACTCCAGTTTTGGAGAGTAATAACTTTTCGTCGGTACCTGTATAAAACTACTGAGTGAAAAAATACTCATTTACGTAATTTTTTAAATGTCTCTTGGTAAAAATCGCTACGAGAAACCGTTCTCAAGATATTTAGAATGGAAATAGTCAATACATCTCATTATTGACATAAAAAACAAATATGTTGAGTAGATAGTTATTATTTGACTGAAATGATAAATTTGGGAACTTTTTATTTTTTTTAAATTAATCATAATTTTTTCTTCGAAAAAATGATGATAAAACAGTTTCTGTTGAACTTTTAACACAGAATCATTTCAAATCTATGATTTCAGTCTAATAACTATTTAGTCAACATGTTTAATTTATGTCAATGATGACAGGTATTGATAATTTCGATTCCAAATATCTTGAAATAACCATTACTCGTGGCGATTTTTACCAAGAGACCTATTTTACGTAAAAAACGTCGTAAATGTATATTCTTTTACTCAGTAATTTTATACAGGTACGGCGGAAAAGTTATTACTCTTTCAACCAGTTAAAAATATTTATAGGTGGTGCCCTCTACAAGTAGGAGTCTTAGTGACATCAACATCATGCCAAAAAACTCCTAGACACAATTTTTCATCCAAATATTGACGTTACTTGTGAAATTATTCAGAAAAAATCGAAATAAAAATGAAACTTCTACACCCTGTATCTCCAAAACTAAGCCATTTTAGGATATTTATTTTTTATCTGCACTGCAGAATATCCTTCCGAAGTTTCCAGAATACAGTTCGGACCACCCTGTAGAGAGCTAAAATCGAAATTTTATTACAATTAAAATTGTTATTAAGGATTAAATTCTGGTTAAGAAGTAATTCAGCCCATTATACAGGGTGGCTCGAACTGTTCATTTTGTTAATTTAACAAAAATTAAAAGATGTAGAGTAAAATATTCAAAGGTAATAAAAAGATACACGTTTAAAACATATTTTAATCATTACAGAATTAAAATTTGATGTAAACGTACGTGACAAAAATTATCTAGATAAAATCAAATACTCAAAATGTTTCCTTTCCTGTTCACTGAATAAAATAATTAATTCTCTTTTCAAAAGATCTTTTTATGTTAAAAGGCATATATTTATGTCGGGTTTTACTACGAAAAGCAGCCACAATAATTTCTCTAATTTTGTCGACAATAGTTGGTCGAGTTTTGTAAATACAGTCTTCAACCTAACGCCATAAAAAGCTGCAGACTGCAGACTAGATAAATCAAGAGCATTTAAGTATTCTAATAATTGGTGAATTCACACTGCAGCCGCCAAATAATAGAATCATATCATTCCTGATTCCTGATGTAGGATACGTTTACATTTTCGACACATTTCTGAGATTTTTTTTAATATTAGCTGACACAAAATGATAACCTATGATGATAACTATTTTGAGTTGAACTAATTTGACAGCTATGTTGAAGTAACGTCAGACGTACCACATCCACCTAGATTTTATTAAGTAATAAAAATCTACTGACATTAAATCATAAAAATGATTATATCTAGGAAAATCTTTGTTTAAGGGGTATGCCTACCCCTTAAATAAAGATTTTCCTAATAAATAAAACCTTAATAGGTAGTATTTTGAAACGACATGAATTTTCCATTGAATTTCGAAATAATATACCGGGTAATCCATTTAAAATAAAAGAGTTACTAGCTTTTAAAGGTGACCAATGTTTAAAATTAATTTTGTCTCACCCTGTATAACTTTTTGGTCAAGTTTTAATTTGATTTAAAGTACGATAGTTATTTAAGCTACATATTAGGTTATGCCGGGTAAATTCAAATTTAGTTAGATTTTATTGAAATTTAAAAATGTTTTTCATTTTAAGAAAATGGTTAATATTCCAAAAACCTTACATTTTAGTCATATACTTCTAATGAAACTCACATTTATTTTTCTGCTAGAATCCGAAAATTAATTAATATATAGAGGGTTCCATTACAAAAAACACAACTTTGAATTGATGTGTTACTTTTTTTGGGGATTTTGTAGAACTTTGTAGAACTTTGTAGAACTCTGTATAGTTAAAAATGCTCTAAATTAACCTACATATGCTCAAAATATTTAATTTCATTACAAACCGTCGTTCTCAAGGAAACTCCGGGTCGTATAAGAGGTGCCACCCGTAGGGTATAATGTAGGGTAGACTATATTATGGACTATGGGTACTCAATAATATGTTGGTTTTGATTTACCTTGCCAATAAATCTTATTGAATTCTACGTTTTAATTAATCTTATGTCGGGCACGATGAATCGGGATTTCTTTACGGGAAATCCCATACATCGAAACACAAAATAAGATATTATTGGTAGACAAATACCATAATATAGAAAAACCTGTAAAAACAACTTGAAACCTAACGGAATCAAGTCTCTTGACAAAATACTGCACGTCTTATTATTTGAGCCAGTCGAATATCCTTATTCTATACAGGGTCTCGCAGAAATAAGTGCAAGTACTTTAACTGGTAGTATAGTTCAACCCCAGAAAGACGCATATGAGGTTTTTTCTCGAAAAAATTTTTGGATTTTTTTTAGATTTTACTTAATAATAGCTCCCGTTTATAGCGTTTAACGCCTTGGGAGTAGCAAGGTACAGCTTGGCCATGCTAGAGCCGTTCGGTATACAAGGAAGGTAATGTGGCTGGCACTACGCTAGTGCGCTTCAACCGCCTATTATTACCTCAGGATTGTGAATCCCAAGTACTCATTTAAGGCTGAGTCGACCTAGGTACCCAAACTATTTTTATTTTAATAAAAATAGTCGGCTGATGAAATGCCGGGTGTGGGATTCGAACCCACAACCTTTAGATTGGTAGACGAGAGCCTGTACCTCTACGCCACCACTAGTTTTTAGAAAAAAGAAGAAAGAAAATCCAGAAAAGATCCAGTGGTCCTCAAAATTTTCCAAAAAAAATCATTTTTTTGAAAATTTTTTGGTTTTGAACAGTTTTTGAAAGTAAAATAACTCTGTTATATTGGACTTATTTGACAAACGATAAAGAGAAAATATGTTTCTTTTATCGAGATCCCCCTTCAAAATACTTGCACTTATTTCTGGGACACCCTGTATATCCTCTGAGTTTTGTTTAGTTAAAACTTCGATTTTCATTGCAATAAAATGCAAAAGCTACAATAGCCGGAATCAGCAACTTACCACGTCTGTACTCAATTATTTTGAACAGGAAAGCTAGCATAGCGAACCCTTCTTTCCGTTAAACTACTTAGAGATGTAAAATTGATATTGTTGTATAAGTACTTTTTTTCGAGCCTGTTTCAGCTATCCTATTGAACAACTTAATCTGCATTTCTAGTGTTATCAGGAATCGAATCACAAATGCATTGAATAAAATTTACAAAAAATATTGACATATATAAGTAGATTTAAAATTTAGGAAGCACATTTTTTCCAATATGTCAATTATTTGTTGTTGCAAACCTGTCTATGTCATAATATAAAATGATAAATAAAAGTGAAGATTTCAAGTTAACGTCTCCTTTTTGCTGCCATTATAATCATTATGATATCTTACATCGCGTCGGTTATAATGACATGACGATGACATCACAACCGTCACAACCTACGTAACATTTTATTAGCTGTATGTGCATTATGTCTTAATATGCTATTTATGTCAGTCTTAGAATATGGTGTTGGTACTTAACGGGGTCCTACAAGAGGACTGTCCAATCGACAGCAGGACCCTCTACATGAATCATCCTGTATATAGAGAAACAGCGGCACAACTTCTGGCAGTACCAAATAAGGTCATAGGACCCGTAGGGTTACTTTATGTTTTACAAAGAGAATTGGCAGCCACTATACCACATGACAGTAAGGTTTTCATTAACAATATGTAATATTCCAGAAAACTTCATTGAAAAATAAATTGTTTTCAGAAAATGTGAGTATATTGGGTTCAGATGACGTCACGACTTGTCTAATAGTAGTTATAAGACATTCAGGTAAGCAGAATAAACAATATCTTGGAGTATTCCTAATTGTTTATATAGTTCACACTAAAAAAATACTGTTAAAGTAAATTTCCATCAAAATTTAGGAAAAAATATAAACGTTGACAATCTTGAACAAGAGATTTCAAAAAAGTGTAGATATAGAGGGTGAGTCTTAAATAAGATAGTCTAAGAGCTGGCTATATAAAAAACCTTATCATCGTTACATGGCTAATTTTTCTTGTGAAGTATCCTTTTGCATAGCCATTATGAAATAGTCATGTCTGCCAGCGCAATCCCGGGGCTTAAAGGCCAATCTTAAGGGTGAAATTTTGACACAAAAATATTATAAGGTACACGAGTTATAATTGCGAAAATAGTTTTTATTTAATATTAAGAAACGTGGAAAATTGTTAGCAGACATTTTTCTCATCGTTAAAATGCCAGCAGACAACGCGAAAGAGGCATACAATTTTGAAAAAAAAATTATGGCATGCGTGCATGCCGATTGGTGGAATGCCATTTATTTATTTTAAAAGCCGTATACAAAAGGGCAGACAAAAAGATCGTGGCTAAATCAGTATAGGTAAATCATGTATACGATTATATTATAAATATATTTTTTTATGTTTTCAAATCATACATGTTTCATATCAAACATTTACTATTCTGTCTCTCTATTTGTATCTGACTCGTCGTACTGCAGATCCTCGCTCTCGCAAACGAGTCTTCCTCTGAGTCCATTCTACACCGTAAAATTTTTGTAGACTTTATGTATTATGTTTCAATTGATAACGCGGCGAGCGTTTCAGGAAAGCGCTTATACAGGATGCGTCTTAAATAAGTGCAAATACTTTTAGGGGTGATAGATATATTTCGACCCCAGGAACACGTCTATGAGTTTTTTTCGCAAAAAAAGATTTGGAAATCGTGCATTTTTTAAAATTTTCCTGTATATTTTTGAAAACTTTTTAGAACTGCCTGTTCACCGCAAATTTACCCACGGTATAATTATTTCTTAACCTACCATGCTTACGGCTTTATATGTCTATGGTTACGAGTTACGACACTATGCATCCATGCTTTTATGCAAATACAGAAAAAAAAACAGGTGGCTCGCAAAATTATTTAAAAATAAATCAATTTATTTTTAAATTTTCAAACTTGAATAACTCGGTTATTTTGGACTTGTTTGGAAAATGGTAAACGGGAAATATGTTTCTTTTATCAAGATCTACCAGCTCTGAAAATATTTGCATTTCATTCAAGACTCACCTTGTAGAGTACTATCGGGCTTTTGATAACTCTCTACCACTGATTGAGCCACGATTTTTTGTCTGCCCTTTTACATACGGCTTTTTAAAAAAATAAACATGACATAAATAAACATCCACCACTCGGCACGCATGTATGTGATGATTTATTTTGTCAAAATTTTATGCCTTTTTCGCATTGTCTGTCGGTATTTTAGCCACGAGAAAAATGTCTCCCAACAATTTTCCACGTTTCTTAATAATAAATAAAAGCTATTTTCGCAATTAGATATAAGTCGTGTACCTTATAATATTTTTAGTGTCAAAATTTCACCCTTTCGATTGGCCGCCCCCGATTTAAGCCACGAGATTGCGCTGGCAGTCATGATTATTCCATAATGGCTACATAAAAGGATACTTCACAAGAAAAATTAGCCATGTAACGATGATAAGGTTTTTTATGTAGCCAGCTCTTCGTCTAAGAGCAAATATTTTAGAGTATGGAATGAAAAAAATTTGAAATAAAAAATGAGTGTTACATTTACACAGTCATACCTTTATAAAGCACCCTGTATACTCAAAAATAATTTTAAATTGTGTACCTTAACCTCATTGGGGACATCCCTAAGCAAAACAGTCAAAACTTAAAACTAAAAAATATCCAAACAATCCTTTTAGGTTCTGGAGCAGTTGCTCTAGCACATCTGGACGGATCTGGCACTGACGAAGCCGTATGTGCCATGATACACCGAGTACAAGAGCTGGCATTGGGATATCCCGAAGGACGTATAGAACTGCAATTGGTCGGGGGATTCACAGATCCCCATGGATATTCTGAAGATTTATTTTTCACAGTGATTAGTAAGTACAGTTTATGCCAATGACTAAAGAATTCAAGGGCAAATAACATCCGAGACCAAATTGTTACCATGGCACCAAACAGTGCCGTGGCCATATATTTTTCTTAACTTAGCTGCTTGAAGGGATATTTATATTTTTGATAAATGTTTTAACTACGCCTATGGTGTTAAGCGGTGGCATTATACTAATTAATTACGAAAAAATCGTATTAAAATGTTAACAAAAGATACAAAACTAGTTTCGACGTATAGCACAGTACATAATAATATCAGAAAAATAATTATTGAATTCAATAAGAAAGCTAAGAAAACGCTAAAAAGGTGGAGCGGACTGTTTATTTACCTATGAAACTAACTCCTGGCTCTTTCTTATCGCTGCGGCTTTTTTTCACTTGAAAGCTGAACAACTAATCGCCATTGTAATAAAGTTTATACAAAGTTTACTACACACAAACTATTAAAAATGGCTAAAATTGTCGCTGGTGACCTGCCGACATCAAAAAAATGGCGTCTAAGGTCACAAATTCTGCTGCAGCCCGTATATGGGTATTACATGTCCTTATAATCTTTAGCCATTGGTTTATACCAAATAAACTTTTAGTCACGTGATTAAACTTGACCAGCACAGCGTTGCCCACTTTTATATATTTTCTTTTAATCAAAATAGTTTTTAGAAAACAAAAATAAATTAATTATAAATATATTACCAGTTATTATTTACATCAACAAAACTCACCTTCTTAAGGAACTCAGCCCTTAAGGGACCTAAAGAGCCATTACTACCGCTTTCCCGTTCAAAATATTCTAATAACATTGCAATGAGTTTTTTACGGCTATCTTGTACCACCTCGCACTAAAAGATACAATGTTCGACAGTTTATACAGTTTGATCTAAAAAGACGGCGTCAGCGATGGCTATGAAATGAAGATCGTTGTTCGTTCTGTTATCAGTCTTTTTTTCAGATTCCTTCCACAAGCATCCAGTTGAAATTGACTTAACCCTAGCCTGTGTAGGAGAACTCAACACAACAATTAGAGGTGGTATTAACTGGCCCATAATTTACGGAATTGGAGTAAACGTAAAAACTGGAGAAATATTCCCTGGTACTTTTCCAGATAAGGGACCAGATCAGCCTTTGAGATGTGCCAGGTATCTCACTGGAATTTCACAAGTAAGTTTTAGTTTTCCAAAAAGGTTATCTTACATGGGTGTTTAATAAAAATACCAAGGTATACCGGGTGCGTCTCAAAAGTGGCTCACCTCTATAACTTTTTATTTTTTCAGTTAAAAACGAGATTTGGTATGTTAGTATATGACATAAATTTGGATTGATTGACGTATTCAATTCGTTTGATCAATTCCTGTTTCACCGGAAATTATTACAACTTTTGATTTTTAAATGGCCTCCTCGGTACATTTTTACTTTATTTGATAAAAAAAATGACACTCTGAATAGAATGGCATATCATATGTTAACTTTTGACATTTTCGCTTAAAAAATCGTATTTTAAATTTCAATCTAGACTGGCATTGCTGTGTTAAAAACACTAATTTTTAATCAAGGAGTTTTGGAAAATAGATTTGATCGTCTGTTTTTCATGTCTTGTCCTGGCCGGTTCAAAGATGCCCCAATCGTTTTTTTAATCATATCCATATCTCAATTTTTTTAAATGGAACAACGGTGGCTCATTAGCACATTTGTAAAAAGCATGTTTTTACCAATAATTTGGTACCACAAACTTTTAGTATTTCGAGTCAAATTGTCGTTATGAACCGCATGTTACAATTTCAACGAACCCATATTCGAAAATGGCAAAAGTTGACATATGATATGTCATTCTATTGAGAGTGCCATTTTCTATCGAATAAAGTAAAAAATACCGAGTTTTTTTACCGACAAAAGTTGTAGTCATTTCCTGTGAAACAGGAAGTGACCAAAAACAACTGAATGCGTCAATCAATCCTAATTTATGTTATATACTAACATACCAAATCTCGTTTCGAACCACTTTTGTGACGCACTCGGTATATTCGTATCTTAAAGATGGAAAGACGTCATGGAAATCATTTTGAAACTGTTTACATACAAAAAGTTTCCAGAAAAATTAAAAAAATATTGAATATGGTCAATTTTTCTTAATTTTCGGGACTAATTTTTACATCTTTAGGTCCTGGATATCTACGACTGCAATTTGGGGTTGCTTAGAATAGGCCCGTTCAATTATGAACCTTTACGAGGAGTCGACTTATGGCTAGAACAAAGCGATGAATTCATTTTGCAACAACTATCGACAACACCAGAAGTGCAACCTCCACATTTCGTTATGCAGGTAAAACTTCGTTTAAAAAAACAGTTACATAGTTTCAAAATTCACTTAGCTGTATTATATTTGCGAAAAATTACATTTACATATGATTAACTATGATATCTGTAAATTACCTATGTATTTACTATCTACAAGCTAGTATACAGGGTGTCATTGAAATGGTGTAAAAAAAATCAAGGGGTGATAGTACTCCTAAAAATAGTAAAAAAAGTTCCTATAAGTATAGGGCGGAAAATGCATATTAAGGGAGTTAGGGCCACTGAAAGGGTGAATTTAAAAAACGGTTGTTTTAAAATTGCAGGCTTAAAAAACGAGATAAAATTTCGAAAAAAAATCCTCTGCCATAAACTTTGACCCTAAATTAAATGGTGATACTGAAAAATTATTTGGAAAAGCGGAAAGGGTAGTTTTTGCAAGGGTAGGGGGTTGTTTCGTGAATAACTTTTTTGAGGTTATTTTTTTGCAACGTGGGTTCATTTTTTGAAAACTACATACTTTTTCCTACAAAAAAGGTACTCTTATTGCACATCGCCCAGAGCGATGGTTTTCGAGAAAATTGAAGGCAAAGAGTTTGCTCTGATGGGTTGCTAATCAACTAATGGATTGTTAATCAACATAAGCTAATGAAAGTTATGGCGGTTCAAAAGTAATCAAGTAGTTATCAAATAATTAATTGAAAAATCAAAATTTCATGATTTTTAAAACATCTGATTGTTTTAAAAAACGAAATAATCTACTAGATTTCTACTTCTGGGGCCACTTGAAAGCTTTGGTTTACTCAGTGCCGATTAATACTGAAGAGCAACTACGGCAACGTATTATTGACTGTTCCAATCAAATTTGGAAAACACCAAGGATATTCCACAAGGTACGCAGATCTTGGAGCAGATGTCTGCATTGAAATGAATGGTGGTCACTTTAAACATTTACTATGAATGAATTAAGGAATGCATTATTTTAATAAGGAATTTTGGTAATTGGTTTATTTCGTTTTTAAAGAAATAAGATGTTTTAAAAATCATGAAATTTTGATTTTCCAATTAATTATTTAATAACTACTTGGTTACTTTTGAACCGCCATAACTTATAAATAAACAAAAGTTTATGTTGATTAACCAGTCAACCCATCAGAGCAAACTCTTTGCCTTCAATTTTCTCGAAAACCATCGCTCTGGGCGATGTACAACAAGAGTACCTTTTTTGTAGGAAAAAGTATGTAGTTTTCAAAAAATGAACCCACGTTGCAAAAAAAATAACCTCAAAAAAGTTATTCACGAAATAATCCCTACCCTTGCAAAAACTACCCTTTTCGCTTTTCCAAATAATTTTTCAATATCACCATTTGATTAGGGTCAAAATTTTTGGCAGACGATTTTTTTTCGAAATTTTATCTCGTTTTTAAATCTACAAAATAAAATAGTTATTTTTTGTAAACACTTCTGCGTTAATCCCAAACGGAAACTACTTGTCAGAAGTTAGGTTTACAGATATACAAATTTGCGTAAGGAACAAAAAAATGCTTAACGTTTCGGAAAGTTTATCTCTTTCCGTCGTCGGAAGCAAAAAAAATACAAAGAATAAAGAAAAAAACTGTATTCTTGTATACAAAGAATAAAGAAAAAAATTCGACTATTCGAGAACACTTTGTTTTTTAAAATAGATACATCTACAAAAACCGTTGACGTTCTGTTAAAATGACATTATATCAAGTTAAACTTCAAAATTAACAATTACTACCAGATAACAATTACTTAATAAGGTAAAATAAAAAAGCTCCAAACTTTCTGTATAATTATTTTTAATTTTTACGTATGTTATGTTTATTTATGTTATGTTATTATTATTTTTTTTTGTTCACGATTAACTCGGTAGGTTTGGTTTCTTGACCAGAACTGCTCTAGTTCAGGGTCTTCTAAATATTAAGCACTTTTCAGAAAATTCTCACTGTTCCCAATATGGCTGCTTTTAAGCACTCGTTGGTAAGCTTTGGCTTTAATTTCAATAATTGTTATTATTATTATGTATTTTATCTGTATCATTTTCTCGACTTTGTCGGGGATCATCTTTCCAACGGGCTAAGCCAAGTTGGAAGATTCTTAATCTATAGTTGGCTATTGTCATATGTTAGGTGCATGGTTTCCACTGAGAAATCTCCTTACTATGGCACATGTATTAAGTATGACTGCTTTTTGTATTTCAGTGTGAGTGTATTCCGGTATATTGGGCGTTTTCAGTAGCGGTATAAATGTTTTTGGTGTTATTCCCGTTGCGGACATGATAAGTGGTATAACAACTTTTTCTTGTTTCCAGATTCTTTCAATCTCTTCAGCCAGTGGTGTTTACTTATCGATTTTTTCTCTATACTTTTGCTCTATGTTGTTATTATTGGGTATGGATCAAAGACATCTAAATATAGGTAGACAGAACACTCCATTCATAAAACTGAATTTTTTAGAATCATACATGGTTTGACGTGGTTTGACACTTTTATGAGAAAAGAGATGGGAAGGCATATTTGAAATTTCTGTCCCTACTTTAAAGCAAGTTTCTCGGTTTGACACCAGAGGCACTGTAAGCGGGTTAGATTTAGAGATGAGCGATATCGTGATTTTTTAATCACACTGATATTTGTTACTGTGATTTTTTAATATCAGTGATTTTTAAACGTGATGTGATCACAGTTTCAATAACAATAACAAGTCTTGTCGCTCCGTCCCCGTTGCCCCGTTCCCAGTTAAGGCGTAATACCAAAGAATATTATAGTTTTAAGAACTCTCGTGTGGAAGCTTTAGTGATTTGTCACACGGTGGCGCTTTTGAACATAATCGAAGACTGAAAATGCTAATATTTTAAATTTTGAGGACTACGCGCGGCGATATTTCGTACGGTGTTGCCAAACATATTTTATTTCTCGATATTTAAAGAAATATGTATTGATTATATATTTCGTGTATCTGTTAGTACATGAGGCATCCTAAGGCTATAAAAACGAAGCTACGAAAATAAAATTTTAGATTTTTAATTTTTTTGTACCTTCTAATAAAAAATTACTTCTATTCCAATAAAAATTAACTAGTATGATTATGCGTTATCTGTGCTAGTATTAGGAAACTGAGTAAATACAGAGAATTTTAAATCGTTCTCTAAGATGAGCACTACTAAGTAATTATTTAAAATTGGACCCATAGGGGGTGTAATTAGATAAAGGTGTAATTATACAAAAAAATATGTACCTACTAGGAGTATGAACTTTTGCACAGATGTGGCGCATTTGAACATTGATAAGCGATTTTTGGAAATGTATAGCCCAAGGGTAGTGAAACTGGGGGGTGAAATTTTGTACAAAAAATGTTAGTTCTAGGAGTATGAAATGTTGTACAGAGTTTCCTTAAGTGACGAAAGTGAGTACCCAGAAGCTAATTTTTGACATTCATCCCCTAGAAATAAGGGATGAAAATTTGTACAAAAGTTTGTTACAATCGGTTTTAGAAGTATGAAATTCTGCACAGACGTTCCTTATGTAACGTAATTTAGCACTAAGTAGCACTTTTTGGAAATTCGCCCTCTAAGGGTGCGAAATGAGGGGTGAACGTTCTGAAACAATTCTGTTGAAGGAATATGAAAATTTGCACATAGGTTCCATTTATAGCGTAATTGAATAATTAGAGTGATTTTTGGAATTCATTCCTTAAGGGGGTAAAACTAGGGGTGAAAATTTGTATAATGTTTTATGTAAAATCCGTTCTAGGACTAGGAGTATGAAATTCTGTTCAGAGGTCCCTTAAATGATGAAAGTGAGTACCTAGAAGCGAATTTTAGGCATGCATCCCCTAAAAAATAAGGGATGAAAATTTGTACAAAAGTTTGTTAAAATCGGTTTTAGAACTATGAATTTTGCAGACGTTCCTTATGTAACGTAATTTAGCACTAAGCAGCAATTTGGAAATCCGCCCTCTAAGGGTGTGAAATGAGGGGTGAACGTTCTGAAACAATTCTCTTGAAGGAATATGAAAATTTGCACAGAGGTTCCTTATGTAGCGTAATTGAATAATTAGAGTGATTTTTGGAATTCATTCCTTAAGGGGGTAAAAACTAGGGGTGAAAATTTTGTATAATTTTTATGTAAAATCCGTTCTAGGACTAGAGTATGAAATGCTGTTCAGAGGTCCCTGAAATGATGAAAGTGAGTACCTAGAAGCGAATTTTAGGCATGCATCCCCTAAAAAATAAGGGATGAAAAATTTGTACAAAAATTTGTTAAAATCGGTTTTAGAAGTATGAATTTTGCAGACGTTCCATGTAACGTAATTTAGCACTAAGAAGCTACTTTAGAAATCCGCCCTCTAAGGGTGTGAAATGAGGGGTTGAACGTTCTGGAACAATAAATTCTGTTCAAGGAATATGAAAATTTGCACAGAGGTTTATTATGTAGTGTAATTGAATAATTAGAGCGATTTTTTGGAATTCATTCCTTAAGGGATAAAACTAAGGGTAAAAATTTGTATAATTTTATGTAAAATCCGTTCTAGGACTAGGAGTATGCAATTTTGCACAGAGGTCCCATAAGGATGAAAGTGAGTACCCAGAAGAAAATTTTGGACATGCACCCCTAAAAATAGGCACTCCCTATAAAACAATTAAAATAAAAAAAAATTGTCTAAAAAATAAAAAAGTTGGGGTGGACCACTCTTATCACTTAGGAGTATAAAAAATAGATAACCTGGGAATAGGTTGTGACCAAACCAAACCAAACCAGACCTACTGAATATACATATAAAATTTTATCAAAATCGGTCTAGCCGTTTCAGGGATGGTAACAAAAAATTTAAAAAAACAACCCCTATTAAAAAATAGGGGATGATGGTAGAACGGTGAAAATTTTGGATTCTTTGTATTTTTTACTGCAAAATAAAAAAATATTTTTTTTCAAAATATAAAAAAATGGGAATGGGCTACCCTTATCACTTAAGGGTATAAAAAATAGATAACAAACTATTTTCAGA